GTAACCCCTGAGCACTGTGCCGCTCTTTACGCATGTGTATGAGCACGACTGCAGAAGCACTGCACCGCCCTTTGCGCATGTGCATGAGCACGCCAGAGCACCCCCCACTCACATGAGCACACCCCCCCGCTCCTTCACACATGTGCATGAGCACATGGGGGTGCCGCACCTTTCCCAGCCTTCTCCGCGGGGCTAAAAGGTTGGGGACTGCTGCCTTAGAACCATCCGCCGCTGCACAGCCTATAGGTGCACATGTGTCGTCCAGCGGGGAGGAAGGGCGGGAAGTGTGAATTCATAGAGGACCACTCAAAGAACCAGAATTACAGAGTTCTTTTTCTTCTTCGTGGTCTCTATGAATGCACACTAATGGCTGACTAGCAAGCTCACTCACATGGAGGAGGGTCGTCATGAAAGCACTGAAGACAAGGCAGCACGAACCACCACAGCCTCGGCTTTGGCCCAGACATCCAAGTGATAGTGGCAGGCGAATGTGGACAGCGTGGCCCGTGTAGCAGCTTTACAGATGTCTGCAATATCCACTCCATGAAGAAATGCAGTAGAAGAGGCCACAGTTGTTGTTGAGTGGGCCTTAGCTGTACCTGGGAGAGGAACCTTAGACAGTTGGTAGGCCAGGTGTATGGTCACCACAATCCATCTAGAGATGCTCTGGGAAGCACCTGGCGCTCCCCTAGAGGGGCCATGAAAGGTTACAAAGAGTCCCTTCGAGGTACGGAAGGTGGAAGTTCAGTGAATATAATGAGAACACACTTAACATCCAAGGAGGGCAGTGCCCTCTCCAGTGGTGAGGTGGGTGTTGGGAAGAAGGTGGGGAGGACAATCGGCTGGCTTAAATGAAAATGAGATGAAACCTTAGGTAGGAAGGAGAGGTCTGGGTATAGGGTCACATTGTCCGGGTGAGACTGGAGGAATGGAGGGTTCATTCTCAAGGCTGCAACCTCCCTTGTCCTATGAGGGAGATTGCGGCCAGCATGTGGAAGGTCCCGGCACCGTGTGCTTGAGCTAGAAAGGTCTGAGGAGGCTCCGCGCGGGAGCAGATTAACCCATTAGTGTGCATTCACAGACACCACAAAGAACAACTGTTACAATAAAATTACTTTGAAGAACCTTTCCCCAGTCTATAAATTCCCATCCATCAATCTCACAATAGATTGCAAGTTGAAAAAAAAAAACCACTCCCAGAGGCCTTCACAAGCAGAAAAAACAAATACTTTTCTGCATGTAGCTGGTCTGGGTGTCTCTCTGTGTGTACAATTTTCTTACCAAGCTACTCTTTGGGAGGTGCATGTGGACTGCAATCTGTAATTTGCTTTACAATGTAATATCCCTATACAACTCTCATGAACCTTATTATAGCATGCAAATTTTATATACAATCTCATCTGAACTAAATTCAAAGTTCATGACAAATTATGGTCTGTTATTATAAACTCCGGGAGGGAGTGGAAGACAGGAGGGCCTGGCATGCTCTGGTCCATGGGGTCACAAAGAGTCGGACACGACTTAACGACTAAACAACAAAATGATCTATATATGCCACAAACGATAACTTGTGGCTGCTTATACACAATCTAAACAATGGTTTGGCAGCACATGTCAACACACTCAGTATCTAGAAGCAAATTAAGAACCATAGGAAAGATTTTGCTCAAAGGATTCCTTTTTATATATAAAACATTGTCAATAGTCCATATGAATAGCTGATTATATGCTTGACCCTAATAATCCTATAAAAGATCACGGACATCCAAGCCAACGTACTGACTTGCACAAACATTTCAGGATCAGTCCATTCAGCTAGAACTATGTAGTTGATGATTGGGCAAGTAGCAAAGATGACATCTTCCTCAATGATCAGGGCTCTGGGCCCACTGCCCATAAGAACTACAATGGTTTTAATGTGACAAACCAGCTACTGACAAACCAGCACCTTCATTTGCCAAACTCAGCATACATTAACATTTGAAAATTACATGAATAAATACAAAAAAGGACTGCGAAACTTTTGCAATTGGTAAAGCTGTTGCCTACCTCACACATTTGTAACTGGAAGAAACGTCGTTCCTTTTCCATATCCTCGGCAATTTCAGCTCCCGTAATTTCAGTCCTTATCATCCCATGCTGTTTTGCATGTTCTCTTTTTTCCTTTTCAATCTTTGTGCTGTAATCGCATAAGCATACATTGAGGAAAACTTAAAAAACCCTGTAAGTTATATTTGACCTGATATTAAACTATACACATCATAACAGTGACTCAAGTTTTCCTATTATAAATATTATAGAAATTTCAGTATAAAACAAATGTAGCTTAAAGCCAGATTCATTCCCCTACATTGATTTGGGTGTTCCATTTTGCAATGTGCTACAGCCTTTTCAACATGCCTTTCTCCTTAAAAAGCACATAAGGTGTCTTACAACATTTAAGAGTTATTTATGTTAGCAATAATGATTAGACAATACTGAAAATGATCCATGAATACAATACCAAAAAACGTAAGTACAGGTATATTTGAGGTCTTGAAGCTAGTCTTTATGTATGCAGTTGTGTTTAACTTGATGATTCTTCAAACAAACACGTTTAAAGCTTATTCCCAGACATTTATACTCTCTCTCCCCATGGCAATCTGAACTCTGACGCATTCCCTTTTTCCTTGGAGTTCAAAAGTAGTAATGTTCTGCTCAATCAATGACAAGTCCCTACAGGCAGAGTTCTCTCTATATAGTTAGAAATACCACATTTTTAACAGCTACAATTCACTGTAGTTTATGAAAACCCACACTAAGGCAGCCAGAGGTTGGTGATTTCCCAATGTGCTTCCTTAACAGGGGCTGGATTTGATGGCATAATCAGGATGAGAAAGAGCACTCAAAACCAGCTTGGTGTTGAAGGAGCAACTTCTAATGTTATGTGAATCCTTTTCTTCATTGTTCTAACTTCTGCACTCTGCAAACTGGACGGACTACAGCAGGTCCTGCCTCATGAAGTCACTTTGGACTGGCTACACTGGTCTTATTTTTTGGGGGGAAATTGGCTTCCAAAACCAAACTAGCTCCCATTCATGATTTACACAGAAACTGCATTTGGACTGAAAAATAAATGCACATATCTTTTTTTTTTTTTTTAAAGGCCAGTCAGTGACGTTCTTGAAACAGATGGTCAATTAATAATACTGCTTCAACTAGCTCATGTATGAGGATTTTAGTTTGCATTAATATATTCTGAATGGTTTATGCAATAACTCCCAAGAAGGTACTTATATAAGAAACATTTTCATTAACTAAGGAGCAAATTGTGGAACGTCTACTTACAGAAATAACTGTTATTATTATCTATCAGCACAGAGGTAAGTGACAAACATAACCACCAGAGATGGAAAGGTCAGATGGAAAGGTAACAGATTGTACACTTAATGTTTCACAAATATTTACTCAACAAAATGAATAATACTTACAATTTGGTCTCATAATCCTTCCAGGCTTTGTCAAAAGGCTTTTTAAGATCCTTAGGAAAGAGAAAATGTACTTAAAATATGCTTGATACTGCTATGTCTATATTTAATGTATTTAAGATATCATTCTAAGATTAACATTGACATTTTTTTAAAAAAGAAAGCATTTTTTAAACACTTTATACTTTTTAACTATTTCTTTCCCATGGATCTTAAGGCACATATAACTAAAGCTTTGAAGAAAAATAATATGAAATGTAAGCATGCAGTTTAGTTAAATTCTACAGAGTGTCATGCAAAATTGACAGTATTATCACAAGAACACTGACAGGAAACCACCAAAAGCCCGTGAAACAATGCTAGTAACTGTGTGGTATTTATAGAAATAGGAAAACTTACCCCTTTGACTCCTTTCAAATCTCCTTTTAAAAGGGAATCCAATGTGAAGATGACATTGTGGTTCAAGCCTTGGTGCTAAGAACAATAAGGAGTACTATTCAAAATTATGAAAACTCCAAAATCTATTCTTGCCTGCTTCTGACAGGCTATATGCCATGATAACAGAAATTTAAATTATTTCACAAAATCAGCAGTTTACGAAAGTAATTTATTGCACTAATTTTTTAGGTGGGGGAAGAAATGCAATACAGTTTGCAATGTTTCAAAAGGGAACTTATTGAGTTTCTAAGTTAGTTGCATATTTGTTCTTGTTTCCTTACTAATTATGTGGCCAGAGAGGTTCCCCTTTTAAACAATTTCCTGTGTTGTTCAGAGCACCACAGATTTCTGGTTTGGGATCCCTCAGTTCCAGCAGGTAAACATACAAGCAGAGCAACCTGATGAAGCTGAAAGTGTGAATAACAACTAGACACACCTCCTGAAATCACAGGAAGGTGGCCACACACTCTTGTAACACATTACAGTGGTGCCTCGCTTGACAACAATGCATTCCGTTAAAATCACTGTTAAGCGAAATCGTCGTCAAGTGAAATTTAAACACCCATTGAAATGCACTGAAAACTGTTCAATGCATTCCAATGGGCGAAATACTTCATCGTGCAGCGAAGATCCTCCATAAGCCGGCCATTTTCTGGTGCCTGTATAGCGAGGAATCCGTCCTTATCACAGTGGGGAGCCATTCTGAAACCTGATGATCAACTGTTTTTAGATTGTTGTAATGCGAAGAATCAGTTCCCGAAGCAGGGAACCGATCATCGTAAAGTGATTTCCCCCCCATAGGAACATCGTTTCGCGATCGCAAAAAACCATCGTAAAGCGGATTTGTCGTTTAATGATGTAATCATTAAGCGAGGCACCACTGTATTGCCAAGCCCTGATATAAACTGGGGCACCTTAAGGAAAATCTAGGCAAAAATCTCACTCAGCACTGACAGATCTTCAAGCTACCACAAGATGAATATTTTATTCCCCTCGATTCATATTTTAAATGACAGGACTTGTGTTTCCATATATGAATTTGTTTTCTAAAAGGTTTCCTAATTTTTTTGTGATGAAAAGATGGATTTGGCAGAACTCTTTCAGCATGCTAAATATTAGGACCATTTCCTTATGATTCTAAGGCAAGAGTAGGCAATAGAGTCTGACCAGCTTTCCTCATTATTCTTACTTATGTACTGACCTTCTAAGTATGAACATCGGTAATATTTTTTTATAAGAGAGCTAACCAGAAGACACATGCACACCCTGTAGCTCCTCATCAGCACTCCAACATTTTCAGATGTCTTATCACTGGAAAATACAGTTCTGATCACTCCCGCCCCTTCTTCCATTCCCTGGGAGTAGGCGCTTTACCCACTTCTCTTTGTTAGGTTGTTTATGTCATTACTTAATGGTGCAATTCAGCTCTTCCATCCACTCGTTTGCAAGAGCTGTGCAAGGATGTGAGAACCTTTTGGAGGTCATTCATTCATAGGGTCCCCATTAAATCAGAAGCAAGTTAATGGCACATAGCAACAGTAATACATCATAAAGAACCACAGGCCATTCAACGTTAATCTTGAATATATCCTCCCATAGACAGAAGCTGTTTTATCACTTCCAGCACGCTACACCTTCCACATTATTGTGCACAGGGCACACAAATGCATTAGTCTGTCTCACAGCCACATATTCACCAAAGTTCAATTCAACACACTGTAGCCAATTCCTTCTTAACAAACGTTTGTGGATGCTGTCCTCCACAAGGAGGCAGTAGAGCTTCTATCCCTAGCAGTCTATACTTCAGATATGTTGTCATTCTCCCAGACAACAGAAATACCAGGCGTATCTTACACCTCTAAGATGGCAAATCTTCACCCAACGCTGAAAATTTCATATGGATTCTCTCTCTTATTCCATGCTGAAATGTCTTTCACCTCAGGCCTCCACATTTCAGTCTGTACAAAGTACTGCTGTTTTCTCAGAGGGGGCTAATGTTTCTAGTTCAGAATGCTTTGCTCTCATCCCCAGAGTCTTTATAAAATGAATGGAGGTTTAAGCCACATGCCTCTACTTATAGAGTACACCCAATTTAGCCAAAAAGCAAAAATATAGTGAGATGTAAAATTATAAAGCGTGATAGTAGGAAATAGCTGAGGAACAGTATGTTCTCAAAAAATACAGTACATTATCATGTAGAGCTCTATTTATTCCTGTGTAAAGAATTTTAGACCTAATTTTTAGAACACGAAAAAACACTTTCAAAGTCAGACAAGGTAACTAAAGAACAATCTTGAAAACAAGGCCAGATTAACAGAGGTACTGTAAAAATTTGAAGAAATATTCACATTCAAAGATGTGAAAAGTCCTCTCACAAGGCTAGGCCATGGTCTTGGCATGACATATGGATTGTTTGGATAATTATGGGACCTAAAGTATTTATTCACTGTTTTCATCTACTTCATTGTACAGTGGGGTCTTGACTTGAGAACTTAATGCGTATTGGAAGGCGGTTCTCAAGTCAAAAGGTTCTCAAGTCAAATTTGCATTTCCCATAGGAATGCATTGAAAACCATTTAATCCGTATCTGCGCTTTTCCGTCCATAGAAACTAATGGGAAGCTGCTATCCCGCCTTCGACCTCTAGAGGGGGATATATTGTTTCTTTTTTTCTTAGGTCAAGAAAGGTTCAGGGAAGGCAGGGAACATACAGTCCAGGCAGTACCAGGCAGTCTGAAGACTGTCTCCCAATCCACTCTCTAAACGCTGGGAGGAGTGAAGAAGCAGACAGGCACCCTTTTCACTGGCCAACAGTTAACTGTAAGTTCACTTTTTGCACTTTCCCTGCCCCCCACGTGGGTTTTTTTCAGTTCTTAACTCAAATCTAAGTACTTAAGTCAAGTCAATATTTTCCTAAGAGAGCGGTTCTTAAGTCAAAATGTTCTTAACTCAAGCCGTTCTTAAGTCAAGACCCCACTGTACACTCAGATATTCTTCAGTATATTTTCATGACCTGTTACTATATGAAGAGATCCTGTGTGTGTGTGTTTCCAATGGTCCCTGTATCCCAATCCCATGTGCTCTTTTTTGTTGCTTTCCATTTTTAATAACCAATTTGTAAGCACACATAAATCAACAAACTACGGTTGATATTCACCTTCCAGTTCAGGATTGCTAATTAGTTTCAACATCTGGTGGAAAGAGGAGAATGAAGGACAGGAGGCAGGGCCCTACCTTAAGTTGGCATTACACATGAGTTGATCCCCTGAGCCTAAATAAGTGAACCTGAATGGCTTGCATTGGTACATTCCACAGCAGTTTCTGTGAATTTAACAAATGCATAACATATTTCATATATTCAGTGTCTGTTGCAACCAAACACTTATTGCTGTTTCATTTAAGGATTTGTGAAATATGTTTACAAAAATCTTAGGCTAAAGGTGTAAATGAAGCTAACACTTGAACCCCTGTAGTGTAACGCTGTAAGTCACAATTAGAGTGGGCTCATTAAATCAGTGGTTTGATGAGTCACTGCTCTTACGTTCCACTAATTCAGTAGGCTATTCTGGTTGCAACTTACTACACTAAGCAACAGGACTCCAGTCAAAGTGTGGAAACCATCAGGCCTACGTAGACCTAAATTCTGCTGGAATGTTTCAATGCATTCATGTCAAATTTGGTTGTGTATTAAGCTTCTGAAGAGTGCAAACAGGAAATATATATTTTTGCAACCTAAAGTTAGTCTGCGAACTAAGACAACTTACAGTATAGGAATGAATGATTTCACTCACAGAGTTAGAAAAATCTCCTACCTTAATATATGGTATTAGTACCTATGACACATGACATAGTTCCCTGCAAATCTCACATAGAGCTGGCACCTAAACCCTGACACTATTTCCAGAAAATTTGAAATATCTATAAATCAGCACGTCTATAATAAGTTATTCGGAATAGAGATGGGACCCAAATCAGTTCAGATTCCTTCATCTGAATATTTCCGCACAGCAGCCATGAGAATCCTTACCCCCCTCGCTCCCCCCCCCATCTGGCTGGTCCACTTTCTTTCATCCTGCGCTGCTGGGGTCCTTCTGTTCCAGCAGCACATCAACCTGGGCAGGACTTCCTCTGGCCCAGTCCTCCTGATGAGGAGGCTGGACAGAGTTAAAGGGACCTGAATTGATTTGGATCCAATCTTTAGACAGGAACACAATACTGGCTTTAAAATAGAAGTATCCCGAAGAAAGAGGTGACTTGAAATACCTTACCAGATTTTTCAGCAGTGTTGATAATTCTTTCGTCAATGTGGAAAATTTTACGAAAGCAGTGCCAAGATCCGGATTATCTCTACTCAAGAAATTACTTCCAAATTTATCCAGTACTTGTGCATAGTTTTCCTCATTTTGGACATGTTCTAGAAAGGAACATATATAATTAATTTTCTTTCTAGGAATGTGAAGCAATAACAGTAACAAATACAACAGTAGTATTTTCTCAGAGGACCAATTTTGCATCTAGTCGTTTGCTTGTTAAGTAAGACTGCCACACTTTTAGTAAGACAGGTTTTTCCTGGTACCTCTCTGGTCTTGAAATGGAAGGCTGGAGCTCAGCAAGTTGATTTCAAAATAAGAATCTGAAGAATGGCTTAGAAGGAAGAATTCAGTGATGTGAGTAGACTAAATGTCACTGCCTAATTATATAGTCTCTGCATACAAAGAAGTCATGACTCACCATGTTTGGATATATATTTTTATGGAGATCTATGTTTTGGTACAGAATACATTTAAGGTTTGTAATTTGTGGTCCGTAAGAGAGGATTAAGAGCAACAGCCGTGAACTCTGGATATAATCTGAGTAACTAAGGGGACAATTTTTAAGGCTACAAAGTATAAACTGAAAATTAGCAATGAGCAGATCTCTTTTTCTATATTTAACATACTTAGGGTGCTAAACAAAGACACTGTAATAGTAGCAGCAACCATGAGATACCATATAAACTATCAGGGCAGGTAAGCAGTGAGAAAGAACTGAATGTTCAACTGGCAGCTGAACCAAATAGGATTCTGCCTTAATTCTCTACAGCAGTGGTTCCCAACCTCGGGTCCCCAGATGATGTTCTTGGACTGCACCTCTCAGAAATCCTGGCCAGCACAGCTTGGGGTGAAAGCTTCTGGGATTTTTAGTCCAAGAACATTTGGGGATCCAAGGTGCAAGCTACTTCTCTACAGCATTTAAGACTCCTGTTTCCAACTAAGAGATATGAAGGCGAAGAAATATTTATACAAGGAAGAGCAGGGAGAGAACAACTACGACAGAACAAATAGCAAACAAATGTAGCTTGGCTGGGGAAGGCAGGGCACCCCCTGCGCTTGTGCGCATGCGTGAACAGCAGCACTGCACTCGTGCACATGCGCAAACGGTGGTGTGGTGCTCGCACGGGACCGCTGGAACACATGCGCATGCGCAAATCAGCTCCGTGGCCCAGTCCATGGACCAGCACCAGGCTGCGGACTGGGGGTTAGGGACCTCTGGTCTAGGTGGATTCTAAACATATGCACATATGTAGGACAATGATTTTTACATGTAGTGCAACTGATAATTTATTTCCCACGGTAAATGATCTCAGTTTGAATGTTGTGTAATGAACAGGGGATTTTTATGACACTTCACATTTTTTTCTGCAACCTACATTTGAGCAGACCTTTGGTCTAGATGGGCGGGGTAGAAGTCCAATAAAAGAAATAAATTTGAACCCATAAGCAAGTTCGAACATGTTTATGAATAACCTGGCCTTTCTCACCCCGTTAACCATAAACATGTTCAAGCCCGTCAGGACCCAAGGGGGTAAATTTTTGCCCTCAACTTGAGTAATCATTTCAGAAAACAATCATTCCCCTAACTACTGGATCAATTTCACATGTGTTTGCCCTAATCACTGCTTCACCCCCAACCCCATTGTACATATAATTTACCTGTAAAGAGGAGGAATTAAAAAAATTACCATACAGGTTGCCTCTGAACTCTAGTACCAGTGATGTTTTGTATGGACAAATATGGGAATAGAGGAAAGGGCACACTATACATGTTAGCTCTCCCCCCCCCGTGCTGCGTATTTCTGCTTCATTCTATCCATACAAAAATACAAAGAATGAAAGTGAAATGTCCCTGAATGATATGGAGAAGCACAATGTAATCATTGCTGCGCCAATTAGAGCCTGCTGTTTCCATGAAATGAAAATGAAATACCTATGTGTTAGTTCAGAAATGATCAAACTAAATTCTTCATTTCAAATTGAAACAACCTCCTTTAATTCCATTTTCCTGGTATAGGCTTAAATGTAGAGATTAACTTCAGGGACAATATAATCTATGTATCCCATATTTAATACTACTCTACTGTAGATATGATTTAAGAAAACCCAGAATTAAAACTAAAATTTCATAGCTATTTCAACTGAAGAAACCTGATTTACTTCTTAAAAATTAAACACATATCTATCCTAATAGGGAAGTGCATCTGGGACCCCCGGTTTGAACAATACATAGCTAGGAATCCTTCGGTTATTTTTACAAAGTTCTTTTGCACTATGCTAGAGAAGCTGTTGCAGAAACAACAGCTTAGGAACACAGATAACTCCTTTTGGTCTCCTTCTCTGCATTAATATTTCAGGCCATAGCCACCAATTTTCTGTCACACCTGGCATCTCACTAGGAGAGATGGCTTGGTGTGTGTGCCCCCCTGAGAATCGTGGTGGGGACACCACCAAGGACGTACCAACCAAAAGTTACATTTTGGTTTACACTAAGCAACAGATTTTTGATCAATGTACCCCTTGGACAAATTTGTAGCTTTTAAAAATTTCATCAACACACAGTACACACCACTACTTAGTTTTCTTGATCTGTAGGTTACACAATGACCTATCTGAAATAAATTGAAATGATTTATGGAATCTTAATGGAAATGAACATTTTAAGTACATCTTTGCGCTTATAAAATGGAAGGGCCAGGATGGCACAAGATGAGACAGCAATAAAACAAGGAACATTTTAAAAGGATGAACGTCTGAGAATAAACCTATCATGTAGAAGCTCCATAACAGTCCCTTTATAAGCTTAACAGCAAGCTGGAATTCCATAAAACCATACTTTATTATTTATAGTCTGGTTTACCAGAATTCTATTTGCTCCTACTTTAGTTCCTCCCACTAATGAGAGCAGGTCAAATAATGAGAAATGAACCAGGATGCAGTAACATAACAGAGTCTGAAGCCAAGGCTTTCTTTCAGTTAACTTCTAACTCCTGCACTGTTTGGAAGCAGCAAACCACATGTCCCACTTCAGATGCAATTCCTAAACTTCTTCCTGGCTTGTTTCTGGTTAATTTAATGGGTAAATAGGAAATGGCTATAATTACCATACTTTGCTTTGTAAACCTCATTTGGAAAACAACTAAGCCAGTGTTTTCTCAAACAGCTGTTCTCCTTTGCCCTCACAGTTTTTGGTTCAATATATAATTTCCTTTTCTTTAGACTACAACTCAAAAATCAGGGATAATTTTTCTATATACACATATATCTTGTTTGTGTCTGCATATATGCCCATAATTGTCATGCAGTAATGATCATTTGACTATTCTGCACTTTTTGAGGAGGTATTTGGAGGGAAGTCTTTATTATATATGTGGTTTTAAATCAATTGCTCAGGATAGATATCACAGAATATTACATATTCAATAAAAGGAAAAACGTGGTAAGATAAAATGTCATTTTCAAACTTGTCACAAAATATACATCTACTGACCATCATTACAAACATCCAACATAATTGCAGCTGTGAGGTACGGAGAAAATCCAACAGCCATGAACTGACAGACCTGCACAAGGAACTAGTTATAGGACATTATATAATGTTCTTTTAAAAAAAAAACCAAAAATCAGGCCAGTGCATTTCAAATGAATTTATTATCTAAAGGTTCTTAATAAAACATACATTAAAAGTTAATAGGGAGTAAATGATCAAACTCACTTTGTGATTTAGATAAACTAAACTTACCTTGCCCAGAATTATATATTGCTTTTACTGATTTTTTTACTTTTTGTAGTGCAGTTCTGTCCTGATCTAGTGCCTAGTAGAAAAATGTGAGATAAAAAAAGAGAGACAATGTCAAGGGGTAAAGTGGCATCTATTTTGAACATCAGAGCTGAACAACAAACATGGCATGCTTGTAAATAAGTGCTGAACGATTTTGGGAGTTCTGAGCACAGTACAAGCTTTGTTTTCAGAGATCTTAGGCTACTCATTCCCTTTCAAGTCAATTAAAGAACTAAAAAATCTCCTTAGGCAAAAACTATTCTCGGGAAATGGCTGTGGCAAAGCTAGAAAACAATGCTAAGTTCAGCACAACATTTGATAAATATTTTTAAAAGTACAAAATGGTTTCACATGTTACCCTTGCTGAATTTCCCAGGATTTTAATTTATTATTATTTTATTAAAAAATATGTTTACCTTGCCTTTCTCCTCAAAAAGGAACCTGTAATACATCTTACACTTGAAGATGCCACATGATGCTTCATTATTTCACTGTAACACATTTGGCTACAAGCCAGAATCTAACTGATGTTCTGGCAAGGTTTAGTACCAACCATGCTACATATAAAGGTGGCTAACTGAAAAAAATGCCAGAGTGCATCTCAGTTGTGTGCTTGGCCATGTGTTGAATGAGCAATTGGGATGCACCCCAGCACTTGATTAATTAGCCACTTTAGCTACAGGAAGTTAGACAAATAAAAATCGAGTTAAAGCCATTATTTAACACAGATCCAATGCAGTGCTATATAAAAGCATGTACAAACAGGCCAGGGAAGGATCTTTCAGAACACAGTTCTGCACCTCTTGTGCTACCCACACAAAAACTCTATAATGAGCTGTATAAGCTTTTATAAATTGCATCAATTGTGGAAAAAAATAATAATCCAATGTGCTGTCAAGTACCCACAAGAACATTCAGACCACAAAGCTTAAATGAATTATATCCTCTACCAAACTCACCTCTTTAGATAAAGTTACAGAATTGTGGTATGGAAATGTTTTTACCTAAGACCTGCCCTGTTAGATTTACTTGACAACACACAATTATTATTTATACTCCTAAAATGTTGATTGCCTTCTCAATAAAGTGCCTCACTGTTTTAGAGGCAAAAACCAGGGGGCAGGGGGGATGGAATTGTTACAGAGAGGGGTCACACTGTGATAGCCTGAATTATTTTGAGAACTTCAGTATTTGAAGACCAATATGCTTTAGAGTATCAGGAAGGGGGCTCTCTAAGTTGAAGGCAATAAATTTAACCAGGTTGTAACCAAGATAAGGAAATCAGTAAAAGCCACATAATCTTAAAACATGGAGAGTTGAAAACAACATTTAATTTTTCAAGAGCAAAACATATTCAATTCCAGAAATAACAATGAACTTTATGTATAACTTTCATTAAGTGACACAAATCTGTTTCAATAAGAAAACCTGTTAAGGTGAAAAATAGCTAAAATATTTCATAATTTAGTAGCATATGACAGACAGCAGAACTAACAATATTTATAGGACAACATCTATATATACAAAACAAAATAGAGCAGATATCAACTACTGTTCAAACAAAAACAGTTTTGACTTACAGGATACACTAATGGGATAGACAGCCTTTCACCTCCAGGTCAGAAAACTAATCCAGCTCAGATCAACAACAATTCAGAAATGTTACCATCTGTTACATGTCTGGTGTCTAGAGTAAAGTGACTTAACACTTTCAGTTCATTTCGACCGGTATCAAAATAATCAAAGCTAGAAAAGAGGACTCTTGCTAAAAGGTTTCGGCAAAGGCTATATTATACTTGGCCATCCTTTGCCACTTCCAAACTGAAATTAACTTTCTCAATTTCCACATAGTTTAGGACAGTGATGGCGAACCTATGCCACGCATGCCACAGCTGGCACGCAGAGCCCTTTCTGCCCGCACGCGAGCCATAAGTTGCCGGATCGCTACTCCCCCCGGGCAATCAAACCTGAGAAGGCGGCTGCAGCCACAGTGCTGGTGCTTCGACAGGTGGATCCGGGGCAACCAGCACTGGCGGTGGGTCCAGAGGGGGGTCTTGAGAAACCTCCGTGCGCGGGATTCCCCCTTCTGCTGCCACGGCACTCTGCCCACTGGGGTTTGTTTGTTTGTTGTTTTGTTTTTCAGTTTTGGGCAATGATCCCAAAAAGGTTCGCCACTGCTGTTTTGGATATAATAGTGTATTCTGTATTTTTCTCCAGGAAATTTGGAAAAAATGTAAATACTGATGGCTGCAAATTGTCAAGTTGTATTATAAAAGGTAATGCCTCTGCGGTGCAATGGTTTACTGACTGTATTATTATGAAATAAAACAAGAATTGTTTTTGTACTTTTACTATATAAAAATATGTACCCCAAGAGAAATTAAGAAATCTAAGTTTATTAAATACTTGTTTAGCAAATGAGTTAGCTTAGCAAATGAATCAATGACTACGGTGTGTTTGAGTCTCCGTTAGGATTGAAGTTTCAGTTACCATTCGTAACAAATGATTTCCCCCCAGACAACTGTAAGTCAATTCGTCCAGACTGAGTGAACCAAAAATTTACATGAACAAGAAGAGGACGATGCTCACATTCACAGGAATTTTAAGAGATCGTGGAGTCTGTACAGTGGGAAGGAAAACTAAAGAAATTCAATCTTTGCAACATTCAGAAATAACCTGACCTGATCCATACTTTCTAGACAGAGTTACCATGTCAACAACAATTATCCAGGGGCTTCAAATTTCTTTTATATTCAAAAGCAGTTCTTGGCCCCCCCAAAAAGTACACAGGGCTGCCGGTGAAGATAACTTGGAAGCTGTAGCTGGTACAGAGGACAATAGTTATATTGTTCAACGGAACATTTAAAAAATCACACAAATTCTAAAGTAACTGCAAAATGCTTCAGTTCTGAATTTAAGATGCTGGTGGCGATATTCAGGGCAGGATCTTGATCAATGCCTTGAAGCACTGTGTTACACAATGCATGCTTAGCTGAAGCATCTTTTGATCACAAGATGGTGCCAATTTTTGTTTGTCACCTCTGCCTATCCTAGCACAGAGTGTTCTTGAATCTCCTATAGGCTCCACTGGTCTGCTGACCAAGAACTGAAAGTCTGACTCATCAGAAAATATCCTTCTTATAAATGCAAACGAAACAGTTCCGTCTTTCTTAGTGATTCTAAGGGTGTTAAGGATTCTGTGGCATTTAAATATTCATGTTTGTGTAGTTTCTATCTAGGTAAACAAAGTATCCTAAGCCTCTGTCCCACTGAACATTGCTGACTCCACATGTGATGTATTGTTCATGGTGTATTCAGTTTCTATTCCATTTTTGTTTTGACCCAGATGTCTGGATAAGCTCAGGGAACTGGGCACCTGGCTGCAAACTGAGATCAGGAGACGGATTCCCCAGCGTGCCACCTGAGAGGAGAATCAACCTGTCTGCCATGAGGCAAACTGCCCTGTCCCAGAGCGCCCCCAGAAGAAGGGAATAGTAAATAACATCTATATTCTGAGTATACAGAAAAGGTCACCATAAGCCAGAATAGGCTTGACAGGAAGTAATCATAATTCACTCTACTGCTTAAGTTCTGCAACCAAAGACATTTCCTCCTCTTAAAGCAGAAGTAGATTTTTGCATTAGCCTTGCCTTAGCAAGCAAGAGAATCTCGCTTTTTTCTAGCTTACTCCAGTCCAGGATCTTCAGATTTTCACAATACTAAATACATTGTAAATATCTACACTGTTAACAGAGCTTGACAACATTGTTATAATATTATAAAGGCAAATACTGTACGTTTGTTACTTTGTAAACCAAGACAACTGGTTCCCAGGTACTCCTAAGAAGTAAAATAGACAAAGATCTCCTTAAACACCCTTAAATCATTTTGAACTACAAAGACAATATTTATTATGCAAGAAGCAAAACAAAACACCACCTTAAAACATTAGCAAGCCTTACATTATTCTTCAAAGTATCACTGCAACCACCTAATTACTCTCAAAAGTAACGTGCAGCAATCTTCTCCTTACGTTATACCATTATTGTGAATCAGTTTCCTTCAAAAATTGCTGGAATGCTGTTACATGCTATTTCATTTTTGAATGATATGTTTTCCCTCCTTAACTGCATCTGGATATTTAGACCTCATGGCACAGTGGTTAAATTGTAGTACTGCAGCCAAGACTCTGCTCACAACTTCAGTTCAATTCTGTTGGGCTCAGGTAACTAGCTTAAGATTGACTCAGGCCTTCCATGCTTCTGAGGTTGATGAGTACCCAATCTCGCTTGGGGAGGGGCATGAGTAACCTGCGTAAATAAATTATAAACCGCCCAGACAGTGTTTTAAGCTCTATGAGGCAGTATATAAGCAACACTCTTCCAGACCATACATGCTATAAATTTGTTAAGGAGATATAAAAGATATATCACTATTGAAGATATATCATTATGAAAAGTTGCAAATCACAGCTAAGCATCATGCAGTTCATAAGTTATTATATATTTTTATATTCCTATTGAGTTAAATTAGAGTTTTAGAGTTCAACTAGACAATGCTGGAGGTTTTATGGTGGAAAAGGTAGTGCTTTATTCAAATAATGTTCTCTACCTTATATAGGCAGACCTTTAAAAATTATTCTTTATAACAGATCTCCAAAATGCAACCACAGTTTAAGAAATGAAAAGCTATAATCAGAAAAATGGCTAAGTACATCAAAAAGCTTAACTGAAAACTGAATGATAGTTTAGCATATAGAATAGCAATTTCTTTACCACATGTTCTTATTATGATAGGGTCTAGCCTCCCATACTGAAAACTGTTTTTGTTTCAAACACTAAAGAATAATGTTAGAAGTATATCTATAGTCAAGGCACTCTAGAAAAATTAAGTCACTGCCACAACAACCTATCCATTTTTTTTACTTTGAAATTGTGCAAGTTGTAAAAGAGGCCTTTGTTTTACAGCAGACATACAATTTCTCCATTTGAAGGAGTCCCATTGATCCACAAAAGCAAACCATCATGGCTGCAG